TACACTCCCACCAGCAATGCATGATGATTCAGTTTCTTGACTTCCTTCCCAGCATTTGGTATTGTCACTAACTTTTTAAAAAGCCATTCTGGTAGTTCTGTAGTGATATCTTACTGTGTTTTTAGTTTGCATTCACCTAATGGCTAATGAAGTTGAACATCTTTCATGTCTTATATGACTCTGTATATCCTCTTCCGTGAAATGACTCTGCATGCTTATTTTCTAATTGAATATTTTTAAATGTTGAATTTTTAGAGTTTGTTATATACTCTGAATACAAGTCCTGTATTGAGTATGTGATTTGCATATTATTCTCCCAGTGTGTAAGTATTTTCACAAAGCAAAGATTTTTAATTTTTACAGGGTCCCATTTATCATTTTTATGGAATTTTGCTTTTGGTGTCAAATCTAAGAATACTTTGCCTCATCTTAGGTCTCAAAGATTTTATTCCATCTTTTTCTAGAAGTTTTTTAGTTTTACATTTTACATTTAAGTCCATGATCCTTTTTGAGTTAATTTTTGTATAAAGTATGAGGTTTAGGTTGAGGTTCATTTTCCCCATGGCTATCTAATTCTCCCAGCACCACTTATTGAAAAGTTTACCCCTCTTCCATTTAATTGCTTTTGTTCTTTTGTCAAAAATTAATTAAGCATATTTGTGTGACTCTGTTTCTTGGTCTTCGTTCTGTTCCATTTATCTACATGTCTTGATTACCGTAAATATTTAGAAAGTCTTAACATTGGAAAAAGTGATTCCTCCCATCTTTTCCCCCCAAAATATCAGGCTATTCTAGGATCTTTCATTTTCCATATAAATTTTAGAATAGGTTTGTCCATGTCTACAAAAAGTCTTGCGGAGATTTGGATAGGAATTGCCTTAAACCATACATCAATTTATGGAGAATTGACATCTTCACTATGTTGAGTCTTCCAATCCACGAAGACATATGTCTCTCCAAGTATTTAGAGAGTATTTGACTTCCTTCATCAGCATTTGGTAATTTTCATCAGACTTATCCTGCACACATTTTGTTAGATTTATGCCTAAGTGTTTCATGTTCTTTGGAGAAATTATAAATTATATTGCAGTTTTTATTTTGAGTTCCACTTGTTCATTGTTAGTATATAGAAATGCAATTTATTTTTGTGTTTTGGTCTTATATCCTGTGATCTTACTGAATTCACTTATTAGTTCCAGGAGATTTTTTTTTTTTGGTAGACTACTTGGGATTTTCTACATAGATAATTATGTCGTCTGTAAATAGAGATTTTTTTTATTTCTTCTTTTCCAATATGTAAGCTTTTATTTCTTTTCTTTTGTTTCCTTTTTTTGCCTTATTGCAATGGCTGGAACTTCCAGTAATATGTTGAATAAGAGTGGTGAGAATGTTTGGACGTCATTGTATTGTTCCTGATCTTAGAGAGAAAACATTCAGTCTTTCACCATTAAGTATGATGTTAATTGTAGGTTTCTTTGTAGATGCTCTTTATGAGGTTGAGGAAGTTCCTCTCTACTTCTAGTTTTCTGAGAGTTTTTTATTTATCATGAATGGGCTGTGAATTTTGTCAAATGCTTTTTCTGCATCATTTGATTGATAATGTGATTTGTCTTCTTTAGCCTATTGATGTGGTGGACTACAATGATTGACTTTCCAATATTGCCCCAGCCTTCGATGCCTGGAATTATTACACTTAGCTGTAGTGTATATCCTTCTTATATATTGGATTATATTTGATAAAATTCTGTTTGGGGTTTTGCATCTAAATTCATTAGAGATATTGGTCTGTAGCTTTCTTTTTCTGTGCTGTCTTTAAGTATCAGGCCAATCTTAGTCTTATAAAACAAATTGGGAAGTGTTCCATCTTCTTTTATTTTCTGGAAGAGATTGTGTGGAGTTGGTGTATTCTTCTTTAAATGTTTGGTAAAATTCTCTAGTGAAACCATCTCGGCCTAGAGATTTCTTTTTCAGGAATATTGAAACTGTAGTTTTTAGAATAGCTTTAGATTTACAAAAAATAGAGAAGATAGTACAGTGAGTTACCATATACCCACACCCAGTTTTATTATTATTAACATCTTACACTAGTGTGGTACATTTGCTACAATTCATGAACCAATATGGATACATCATTATAAACTAAAGTCCATACTTGGACTTCCTTAGTTTTTACCTAACGTCCTTTCCCGTCCCAGGACCCCATCTAGGATTTCACTTTACGTTTAGTTGTCACATCTCCTTAGGCTCCTCCTGGATGTGACAGTTTCTATACTTTCCTTGTTTTTGATGACCTTGACATTTTTGAGGAATACTGGTCAGGGATTTTGTAGGATGCCCTTTTCCTGGAATTTGTCTGATGTTTTTCTCATTAGATTGTGGTGATGGGTTTTGGGAGGGAGGTGGCAGAGGCGAAGTGCCATGTTGATCACATAATATCAAGGGTGCACACTACTGCTATGGTGTGAATGTTAATGATGACCTTGATGCCCCGGCTGAGGTCATGTTTGTCAGGCCCCCTCCACTGTAAAGTTACAGTAAGGTTATCCCTTCTCTCCCCTTTCTATACTTTGCTCTTTGGAGGGAAGACACTGTGTGTGGCTCACACCTGAGGAGTGGGAGGTTGTGCTCTCCCTCCATGACAGCAGAGTATCTACACAAATTATCTGGAATTCCTCTTCATGGGAGGTTTGCCTCTGCTCCCCGTTTATCTGTGTATCAGTCACTTACTTATATCAGTATGACTCACGGACATTTGCTTTACACTTGGAGTTACAACCCAGTGTGGCTATATTTTCCTTGCTGCTCATACTCTCCGGGCTTTGGCCCTCAGGAGCTCTTGAGTTAGCCCCCGGGTACTTTTTGGCAAACCTCCATCAATGTGTTTTGTTTTTTGTTATTTGTTTTGGGTCACTTCTTTACTTCCTAGCGCTATGAGATACTCCAGGCTCATCTTGTATATTTCTTGCCCCAGTCTTAGAAACAGCCATTTCTCCAAGGAGCCCTGGTGCCTTTTATTGGAGAATGGAGTTAGAAACCAATGCTGGGTGTGCTCATTGCTGCTGGAGTGTCTTTGTTTCTAGGCCTTCTCAGCTGACAGAGCAAAGAAATATCCGCATAGCTGTGCACACATCAGTACACAATTCTGTGTGTGTACACACATCTGTAAATATTCCGATATGTGGCCATCTGTATCTGTACTGAGCTAAATGTGAGCTCTTACTGACATCTCCACGTCTAGTCCATCACCACGTGGTCACTCTCGCCTCCTCTCCTCGCTGATCTGTGAACGCCCACTCCAACACTGAGAACCCTGGCTTCTTTAATAGTTATAGGACTATTCAGGTTATCTATTTCATCTTGGCTGAGTTTTAGTAGGTCAGAAAATGTACTCTGTATGATTTCAATTCTTCTAGATTTGTGAAGGTTCGTTTCATAACGTACAACGTAGTTTTGTGAATGTCCCATGTGTGCATGAAGTGAATGTGTACCCTGCTCTGTTGTGCGGAGTGTTCTGTACCTGTCATTGAGAGCCTGTTGGCCGATGGTGTGGTCCACTTCTTCCAGATCCTTGCTGGCTTTCTGTCTAGTAGGTCTATCGACTGCTGTGGGTGGGGTGTTGAAGTCTTCAAGTTGAGTTGTGGATTTATCCATTTTTCCTTTCAGCTCTCCATTTTTTGCTTCATATATTTTGAGGCTCTGTGGTTTGGTACATACCCATTTAGGATTGCTCTTTTTGGTGGATTGGTCCCTTTATCATTATGTAACATCCCCCTTCTCCCTAGTAATTTTCTTTTATCTGAAATCTTTCTCTGATATTAATATAGCAACTCCTGCTTTTTTTGATTAATGCTTACATGAAATATATTTTTCTTGTAAACAGCACATGTTTGGGTCAATTTTTTTTGTATTTACTCTGCCAAAATCTGTCTTTAATTTGTGTATTTAGACCATTTATATTTAAATCTTGCTGACAAATTAAGGCTTCAGTCTGCCATTTTACTCTGTTTTCTGTTTGCTCCCACTGTTTCTCGTGCCTCTGCCTCTTTTTTTTTGTTTTTGTTTTTGGTGAGGAAGATCAGCCCTGAGCTAACATCTGTTGCCAACCCTCCTCTTTTTGCTGAGGAAGACTGGTCCTGGGCTAACATCCGTGCCCATCTTCCTCTACTTTAGGTGGGACGCCGCCACAGCATGGCTTGACAAGTGGTGCGTCGGTCAGTACCCAGGATCCAAACCTGCGAACCTAGGGCTGCCAAAGTGGAGTGTGCCAACTTAAACGCTGCGCCACCAGGCTGGCCCTCTACCTCTTGTTCTCTTGTCTCCCTGTGGGTTATGTGAGCAATTTTTAGAGTTCCATTTTGATGTATTTATAATGTTTTTGAGTGGTGTACAATTTTCTTGTTAGTCGTCATAGACATTATATACACTTATCACAGGCTGCTGGTGTTCACATTCTACCACTTCCCGTGAAATACAGAACCTCCCTCACCTCTAGGTTCTGCACCCTCCCACTTTAAAGGTATAATTGTCCTAAGTATTTCCTCTGTATACACTGAGCCCCACTGCAGGCGGAGTTAGAACTTGTGCTTCAAACATAAACTATGATCAAAGAAACTCACAAAGTGGAGGATAGTCTATTATATTCAATTCTACCTTTAACCATTTCATTGGTCTTTCCTTTCCAAAAGCCCAAGCTTACTGTTACCATTTTATTTCTATTTGGAGGGTTTTCTTTAGCCATTATGTGAGGGGAGGTCTGCCTGCAACAGGTTCTCTTAGTTTTCCTTCTCTTGAGGATGTCTTTATTTCCCCTTAATTTCTGTAGGACAGCTTCACAGCTATGGGACTCAGGTCAACACATCTTTTCTGTCAGCACTGAAGAACTGTTGTTCTGCTGCTTGCTGCTTCCATACAGATGAGAAATGGTGCTGTCGTCCAAATTGGTTTTTCTTGGTAGATAATGTATTATTTTTCTCTGGCTATTTTTAGAATTTTTTTCTTCATCTTTAGTTTTCAAAATTTTAATTATGATGTGTTTTGGTGTGAATTTCTTTGGGTTCATCCTGTTTGGAGTTTGCTCAGCTTCCTGAATCTGTAAGTTTACATCTTCCATCAAATTTGGGAAATTTTCAGCCATTATTTCTTCAAATTCTTTTTTAATCCCACACTCTGTCTCCTCTCCTTCCCAGATCTCCAATGATGGAAATATTAGGTTTTCTGCTATTGTCCCAGAGACCTCTGAGATGCTATTAATTTTTTCTATTTTCTCTGTTGTTTACATTGAGTAAATTCTATTTATTTGTCTTCAAGTTTTACTGATGCTATCTTTTGTCATTTCCATTCTACTACTGAATCCATTCAGTGAATTTTTTTTTAATTTCAATTATTGTATTTTTAGTTCTCATCTGTTTGGTTCTTTTAAAAGAAACAGCTTTATTGAGATATAATTCATATCACAAATGCATCCTTTAAAAAGTGTATAATCCAGTGGCTTTTAGTGTATTCAGAATTATGCAATTCTCTTCACTAGCTAATTTCAGAACATTTTCATCACCCCCGAAAGAAACTCTGTGCCCATTAGCAGTCATTTTCCATTTTCTCCTCCTCCCATCTCCTGGAAACCAGTAATCAACTTTGTATGTCTATGGTTTTACCTGTTCTTGACATACTGTTTTCCAGGTCCATCCTGTTGTAGTATGTATCAGTACTTCTTTCCTTTTAATGGCTGAATAATATTCCATGGTGTGGATGTACTACATTTTGTTTATCCATTCAGCTGATGCACATCTGGGCTGTTTCTGTTTTTCTGTTTGCTTATTACAAGTAAATCTGCTATGAACATTGATGTACAGGTTTCTGTGTGGACATAACTTTTCATTTCTCTTTGACATGTACCTAGGAGTAGAATTGCTGGGTCATAAAGTACCTCTACATTTAACGTTTTGAAGAACTTCCAAACTGCTTTCCAAAGCAGTTTCACTATTTTCCAATGCCACTAGCAGTGTATGAGTGCTCCATTTCTCCACATTCTCGCCATTGATTCACTTTTATAACTTCTATTTCTTTGCTGAAGTTTTCTGTTTTTTTCATTTGTTTCAAGGGAATTTGCAAATTACTGTGGAAGCATTTTTCATGATGGCTGTTTTAAACTCCTTGTCAGATAATTCCAGCACTAATTCTTCTTGGCATTAGCATCAGTTGATCGCCTCTATCATCAAATTGTGGTTTTCCTGGTTCTTCACATGAGTGATTTTCAGTTGTATCTTGGATATTCTGGTTGTGATGTCAGGAGACTGTTGATTCTTTCTAAATCTTCTGTTTCAGCAGATGGTCACCCAGTTTAGGTGTAGAGTGTAGGTTCTGGCCTTCTTTTGTGGCTTTAGTTCCAGCCACGGTGCAGTTTCAGAGTGCTGGCAAAGCTACCTGGCCTGTCTCGTCCTCCTGGTGCTGCGGGGCTCCCCCTCAGTCCCTGCTGGTCCCGGGGTGTCCACTGTCACTGTGTCATGTGTCACTGTCTATGGTGGGGAGCCAAAGCCACTGGGCCTGGGTGGAGGGCAGAAACACAGGGCTTCGTGGCGGCTGCGGCTGTGGGCAGATCAGACAAACTGCCTGACTGTGGGGTCTGAGTGAAGCTACCCCGTCAGCAGTTCTCAGTGGGGAAGGAAACCCCCAGCCTGGGCCCCTCAATCAGGTCTGGCGATGCTCACAGCCGCCAAGGCCATTGGCTGCTCTGTTCACAGACCAGAGACAGAGCCATTGATACGCTGTGGAAAGGCCCTCGCTGTTCTCATTGGTCTGGGGAGGCTGCTGGCGGCTCCTGCTTCTGTGTATTTGACTCTGAACTGTGGTCTCCGCCATTGCCCCAGCTGAGTGGCAGGAACTGGCTGAGGCCCTAGGGGCTGCCAGGCCATGAGGGCCACTCTCTGGGCCTTGGGACTTGGGCCTCTTCTCCTTACTCTCAGGGCAGTCCCCACTGGTAAGTTTCTCCTTCTTCGTCCATAGGAACTTCTGGAAGCAGCAGCTCTGTAGATGCCCAGACTGGGGTGTGAGAAGCTCCTGCTGTGACTAGTTGTCTGCCTGGGTCTCACTCAGCCCAGAGGTGGGTGGCATGTTCTGGGGCAGGAGGGCATGTTGGCTTCAAAGTATGGACCCCCAGAGACTCTTGTCCCAGCACTGACAGAGTGAGCCCAGGGCCCCCAGCCCCACTGCTTGGAGCCGGGTGTGGGGCTGGTTAGAGCCAGATGGAATGAGGGGACATGGCTGGCGGCTGGCCCCAGTGACCCAATCCACCAGAGGTGCTGATGGGCCCTGCAGGGGTGGGGCTGGCAGTGGACGGGGCAGTGGGACAGCCGGCTGCACCTGGCAGTGAGGGGGAGCATCGAGCTTGAGGCTGGGACACGGAGGAGAGCCACAGTCCCAGGGAGATGCCACACCAGGTGGGGGGGCACAGATGTGTGGGGGGCTGCTACATTCAGAGGCCAAGAGGCAGGAAGTGCAGAGAGGGGTCGTGCCAGAAGGAACAGCACAGAGAGGCTGGAGGCGAGACCGTGGGCCCTGGGGGGACTGCACCCAGTATCATGGGACCTATGAGTGGTGAGTGTGTGACAGTGTGCCAGGGCGAGAGAAAGAGTGTGCGTGTGTGTGCATGTGTGCGTGTACATGTGCGTGTATGTCAGGGAGAGGACGTAGGAGAGGGTAGCAGTGTGTGGTGCCCTGGAAACTGACAGAAGAAAACTTCACTGGGCCAGCCGATCCAGGGCTCCAGCAAGGAGGACACCACCTGACTGACAGAAGGACCTGGTGGTGGGGCGGGAGTCTATGGGCGGTGACCGTTTGGCGCAAGTGATGTGGCAGCTGGTGGAGATCCTGTCTTGTCTTCAAGATGCAGACACGGGTGCACATTTACCTCCCGGGAAGAGCGGGTCTGGAGGGGGACAAAGGCTCTGGGGGAGAGGTGGCGGTGATGAACTCCCCCAGACCAGGGTGCGAGAGACACGTGCCTTCCTCTGGGCCATTGGGGGTGCTGCCCCCTCTCTCCTCCCCAGTGAGCCCAGGATGGGCCCTTTAAGTGGTCTAGGGTGGCCCGGGGTGGCCCAGGCTGGGACCACAGGCCCCACCCACACAGATTTCCCCATGGCTGCTGTTCTGTTTTCCCCGCAGGAGGGGGATGAGAGGATGGGGGCGGTCAAGGGGCTGAGATGGGCTGTGCAGGGAAGACCAGTGTGCAGAGGCCTAGACGGGACATAGGAGGGGGATGCGGCTGTGGTCTTGGTGGGACAAGAAGGTCCAGGGGGCGCTGAGACCCTCGGAGACCAGGGCGTGCCACACGCCCGCTGTTAGAACGGTCAGAGGCCGGCGCCGTGGAGAGCGAGGCAGAAGGATGGTGTGTGGTGGGGCGAACGTGGCTCCGCGTGGCCATGGGGGGTGGGAGGAGGGGCTGCCTGTCTACGATTGGAGAGGCAGGGAGATGGGGAATGCTGGAGTTTTCCTAGATGATGAGGGGGCTGCTGTGGACAAGGAGGCGGTGAACGGGGCACTGGACAAATGGGCACTGGACAGCCAGGGGCGTGGGGCAGGGGTGAGCGAGGAAGTGGGGGGGCATGGTGAGCCACAGGGCTTGGAGTGGAAGTGGGGAAACAACGTTTGGGAAGTGGGAGTAGGGTGGTGGGAGGAGCCCCCCAGCTTTAGGCAGAGGAGGACAAGGGGACTTCCTTCCTGGGGGTCGGGTTACCCACGACATGGGGGCTCCAGAGGGCCAGGAAAGAAACAGCTGTGGAGCTGAGGACACTGGGCTGTGTGGGCGCGGGGGGCAGGGGCAGGTCTGTGTGACCCCCGTCACCTTTCTGGACTGGCTCTGCTGGCGATGGGGACCTGGCTTGGCGCTGAGGCCTCGCAGCCAGGCCCTGGAGGTGGCCCCAGGCACTGCAGTCGCCCTCACACTCAGCTCGCACCCACCGACCCCACCCCGCACCCGACGGGCTGGCCCCTCTAAGGCTGCCGGTGCCGTCCACAGGCGGACCAGGCGACCTGAAGCTGGCGTACAGACCCAGCCCATGCGACGGAGTGGTGCTGGTCCAACGCGAGGGGCAGTGGGGACACGTGTGCAACCAGGAGTGGACGCAGAACGAGGCGTCCGTGGTCTGCAGGCAGCTGGGCTGCGGAGATGCGGTGGGGGCCCCCAAGTACGTCCCACTGCCGGGGGAGATGGTGTCACCCTGGCTCCACAACGTGTCCTGCACGGGCAAGGAGTCCTCCCTGTGGGAGTGCAGCCTCGGGGCGTGGACGCAGAGCAAGTGCCCCCACCAGTGGGTGGTGGTGGCTCTGTGCAAGAGTAAGTCAGGGCAGGAGCGGGGTTGGCGGGGAAGGAGGGTCAGGGGAGGGGGAGGAGGGTTGG